TATAGATTAGTATGTGACTTGTTATCAAAGAATAGAAAACTGAACACTGCAGCTGTTGCAGTTGAGGTTACTGGTGGTATTGACATTGATAGTCAAGCCGTCAACTTCAAGATTTTTAGTTTTGCAGGCTGGTTGAGATTCTCTTGTTGTAACTCCTTTCAACTCTGATGGAATTCCAGCATTCAGGGTGAGAGAGAGGTCTCTTGATGTCCTATTGCCTGGTGTATTACCTAGCTAGCTGTTAGCACTCAAAGAGAGAGAAACAGAGGTAGAATCCCTTTATCCTGCAACACTGGAATGATTGAAGAATCCTCTCCCAAGTGAATGCATCCAGCATTGAGGCAGTACTACAATTCTACTAGGCAGGCCGATTACTCGTATGCTTGACACTAAACTTTCAAAGCAACTGCTCTACTTGGAATGCGTATGTGTCCGAAGTTTCCTGGGAATACAAGAAACATTTTGATTTTTTTTTAAACTATTCTGTGAACAGGTCAAACATCCTGCCACTCATGGGAATCCCTGGCCTGTCACTGTCCAAAACGGAGAAGGTTCATTCAGGAAGAAATAGAACACATCAAGAAATATTGCGAGGAACATTGAGATTTTGGGAGTGATCCCACAAACTTCCAAATACCTCATCTACCCAACTCTTCAAGCATCACTTACTCCATCCATGTCAGATACTGCAGATCATGCACTGGATTTAGCAGTCATCTCCAAGCCCATCCAATCCCAGTGGAAGTAAGCCTCTCTTGATCCTGAGCAAATACTAGGAAGAAAAAAAGCCTTATTAAAGGCATTCAGCTAGGCCAGAATTAGTTCTGCTTTCCAACTGAAGAATTATATGTTCTATTTACAGTTTCAAGACTTTCTAATGAAAGTCTATTGTTAATTCATTAAACTAAGCTTGACTCCTCAGATTCAAAATCATTTTCACCACTTAGCACCTCAGAACCTGGAGAGAAAACTGGTCTAGTTCATGCAGCTGTAAGGTCCCATGACCTTAACAGAATTCCTTAATCAAGACAAAATCACAGAATCCTGACAATGTAGATAGAGTCATAGAGTCATAAAGCTGTACAGCATGGAAACAGACCCTTCGATCCAATTCATCCATACTGACCAGATATCCAATTAATCTAGTCCAATTTGCCAGCATTTGGACCATATCCCTCTAAACTCTTCCTATTGATATATTCATCCAGATCCTTTAAATTTTGTAATTGTACCAGCCTCCACCACTTCTTCTGGCAGCTCATTCCAGACACGCACCACCCTCTGCATAAAAAAGTTACCCCTTAGGTGCCTTTTAAATCTTTCCCTTCTCACCTTAAACCTATGCCCTCTAGTTTTGGACTCCCCAATCCCGGGGAGAAGACCTTGTCTTTTTACCCTATCCATGTCCCTCATGATTTTATAAACTTCTATAAGGTCACCCCTCAACATCCAACACTCCAGGGAAAATAGCCCCAGTCTATTCAACCTCTCCCTATAGCTCAAACTCTTCAACTCTGGCAACAACCTTGTAAATCTTTTCTAAATCCTTTCAAATTTCACAACATCTTTGCTATAGTAGGGAGACCAGAATTGAATGCAGTATTCCAAAAGTGGTCTAACCAATGTCCTATACAGCTGCAACATGACCTCCCAATTCCTATACTCAACGCACTGTCCAATAAAGGCAAGCATACCAAACACCTACTTCACTATCCTGTCTACTTGCGACTCTACTTTCAAGGAAATATGAACCTGCACTCCAAGGTCTCTTTGTTCAGCAATACCCCCAGGACCTGAGCATTAAGTACATAAGTCTTGCCCTGATTTGCCTTTCTAAAATGCAGCACCTCACATTTATCTAAATTAAACTCCATCTGCCACTAGTTGGCCCATTGACCCATCTGATCAAAGTCTACTTCACTGTCCACTACACCTCCAATTTTGGTGTCATCTGTAAACTTACTAACCGTACCTCCAACGTTCACATCCACATCATTTATATAAATGATGAAAAGCCGTGGACCCAGCACTGATCCTGTCGCACACCGCTGGTTACAGACCTCCAGTCTGGAAAACAACCCTCCATCACCACCCTCTGTCTTCTACCTTTGAGCCAGTTCTGTATCCAAATGGCTAGTTCTCCCTGTATTCTAAAGTGGTCATTTGACCCCTCGAGTCTGCACCACCCCTCCAAACAGCATCCCACCCTATCCCTGTAACGCCACATTCACCATAGTTAACCCACTTAGCCTATACTTCCCTGGACACTACAAGGCAATTTAGCATGGCCAATCCACCTAACCTGCACATCTTTGGACTGTGTGAGGAAACCGACATAGAACCCACGCAAATTGCACACAGACAGTCACCCACGGCTAGAATCAAACCCAGGTCACTGGTCCTGTGAGGCAGCAGTGCTAACCACTGATGCACCGTACCACCCTCTGAGGAAAACAGACAATGATTTCAGCACCATTTGAACAACATTTACAAAGTAAATGATTGAACAAAAAAAAACTTAACAAGCAATAACAAACAGGCTGCTTTAGGTCCTTGTTCCTCAAAGTTGTATTGTTTCTACTGTTTTCTGGCTCCTGTGCTGCGGTCCCTACTTTTATACCCTCCTCAGGAATTGACAAGCTTTATTTGGGTAAAGATATGTTCAGATTATATTCAGGTATTCTTTCTATGGATTTTGGAGTATCATTTAGGTCAGAAAATTGATGTTTCTCTCTCAGCTCATTGAACAAAGATCATTTTTGGAAATTGCAATCACCCACAGAGTAAAATTTCAGTTCACGTGTACTAGATATAGGAATCAAAACTTTCAAGGAAAAGGTGCGTGCTTCCTGTCAGGAAGACTTTTGATAAAGAGGTCCCTAAGCCTTAATTAAAACATAACAGCAGAAATACGAATGTTTGAATTTTGATCCGTATATTTTATATCCAAGGTAAACTAGGTGCAAATGTAGTAGAGTTCTAACATTTAACAATAATAACCTCCAGCCTGGCAGCTGGAAGATTTGCAAGAATTTGCCTTAATACAGCCCATTTTACATCTGCAGGATGTTCCAAAGGACTTCACGTTCAATAGTGTAGTCATTATAATATGGACACATACAACAGTCATAGACAGCACGCAGCAAGGTCCCAAAACCAGCAGCTGGTCTAATTGACCAGGTAAGGGTTTATTTGGTGTTGGTTAAGGAATAAATGTTGGGCAGGGTAGCTAATCTTTAAAAATCACTCAGATATTTTACGTACATCCAATCAGGACCTCAGCTTAACATCCCATCTGAATGATAACACCATCTCCAAGGCCTCACTGTAAGCCCAGATTGGGATGGGAATCAGTGACAAATCAACCCAACCCAGACAGCATAATGCCTAAGAAACTTGCCAGTCTTTTTGCAGATATTCAGCTCACAGTAAGAATGGAGTTTGGCCCTCTGCTAAGTCATGAAGAGATTTGGGTGGGGCCTGATGATTGATGGTGTGTTGAGGGGTGCAAGGAGGGGGAAGAGCAGAGGATCGTCAGAGCAACAGAGGCATGTCCCTGCTCCACTGAACTCGACTGGGATTCAGAAAAATCGGGATCCCTTCTGAACCCAACCCCACTTCTCACCTGGTTTAGCATAGAAGTAAAACCATCCTGATGAAGATGGTGATGCAGTTGAATCCAATCCTCACGTGCAAAGAACGCAGCTGGTCTCCATCACAAGTGCTCCTAATTTCCAGCTCATCTAATATCTAGTTAGGTTGGCAGATTTAAAAACTGCTCCTGTGCTATCACACTGGGTTATGTGCTCAATCCTGTCACTTACCTGGAATCTACAAGCCCTGTGTCAGATGAAAGTGCACTATTAAATAAATCAAGCTTAGAGTCTCTTTCCCCCTTTCCAACTACTGACATACGCTGAACATAGCAGTGACTGCTCATCACAAATGTGTATTCTGCATTCAGGCAAAATGCAAATCTACCCATTATTAATGGATGAGGCATATGACAAACAATTAATAAAAAGGATTCCTCCTACAATTTGGGTGTTACTAGACTGTCAGAAAGGCTTTCTTAGGCAAATAACTGACATCGATTATCTTCAGAGTAGAATGGAACAGGTACACAAGGTAACAAATCCTCCTAGAGTCAGAAAAAGTGTGATGGTTTAACCTTGGAAGCCCATTTTCAATATAGGCACAACCCTTGATATTTTCCACATATATCACTGCTAAATTACCTTGAAAACCCTCACAACAGCAGCTGGTGCTTAGATATGGCCAGCAGTCTTCACAACATCAATGTACCTCCTGAATCATGTGACAAAACTGGAGTAAGTTCACAAAAAGAATACAACTGGGGGGGGGCGGGGGGGTGTGTGGAAAATTAGCCAAATTTACTGCCAAACCAAGTTTAATACTGCAGTAGGAAAAACTAAATTTAGTCTAGTTTGTTAGTTAAAAATTTTATAATCTGCAGTACATTGGACTAAGGACGACACAACTTCAAGTCTCCTACATTGGTCCAATTAAGTTTAAAGTATGAGGAACATCTCCATGTTTCAACTGAAATCTTAACCCACTGGACTCAACATTGTGTTCAACAAGTTTAGATCTTAACTCTTGTCTTGGCTGCCGTTGTTGGTGGTGATTCTGCTATTAACATTTTTGGCATCCCAAGACATATAATTTGTAAATTACCATCTTTTTTCACTTTCACTATTACTCCCTTTGTCATCTAAACTCTTGTGCCTTCCACCTCCTTCCCTCGCCTCCTGACTTTCCCTGGCTGGTTGAACTAAAGTTACACCTCTTAGCACTCCCTGGTTTTAACAACGGGTTATCAAGCTGAAAGAATAATCTGATTCTCCTGCCACAGATATTGCCAGACTTGCTGAGCATTCCCTGCTTTTCTTTCAAATTTCCCAAGTGCAATACTTTCTCTTGCACAGGTTAAGGCTTGTTCATTTGATTTGACGTGATAGGACGAGCAGCACATATTATTATGTTGTAGATTAATGTATTTTATTATCATTATCAACAATGTAATTAGTTATTCTGAACACCAAGCCATGTATTTTTTGCAGCAAAACCACGAGCTTCGTCGTAATTTTAACACATGCGTTTAAGAAAAAATAAAAGCAATCTATAATCAATCCATGGATGAAAAGGCTTCTGACTATTAAGGTGCTTTCATCATCTTACAAACAACAGATATTAATTCAGGAAACTTTTCATCCTGAAAGTGCCCTCGGTTTGTGAATTGATGCAATTCTGCATGAAGACCATCTGCTACTTCTTGCTGTTCAGACCATGGGAGGAAAGGGTCATCAGTTGAACCAAACTGAACAATATGGTTACAATTACTTTTGATCTTCTCCCATTGCCATGGACTGCAGAAATATCCTGAGAAAAGAAAAAGAAATTTAAAATTTGATTTCTGTACATGTCAATACTTACATTAATAGAAAATCAAAGCTGAAAGCTCCATGCATTTTGTTGAAAAGTAGAAAATCTATGAAAGAAGTCGTTAAAAATTGTTTTTTTGCATTTTGTAATGAAACCACCTTTTGATTTTCTGATGCGAATATGGTCATTTCACTTGCTCAACCTTTGCCCCAACTATCCATCAACTTTCTGTATGACCTTTCAGCAGGCTGCCCCTGATCACTTGAACATGACACAACAATGTAAATGGCATATGGATGGAAATCTCTGCCATTACAATATCCTTTTCAATTTACAATGTCCTTTTATTGTCATTAAGCATATGTGCCCATTTTCCAGGTGCTATATGCATGCCAAGGCAGGTCATCAGGGTGCTGTGGTGGGAGTCCATGGAGTCCTGGGGAAAATGGGCAACTCTAGTCTGGAATTGGGATTCATTGTGCTGGCTGAGGGAATGATCACAATGATGGTAGGAAATTCCAAAGAGAAGGGTGGGATCACAAGCAATAGAAGGGGACTAAGAGCTCCTGGAGTGAGGGCTCGCACAGTAACTCTGGTCCCTACAAGGGAAGGGTGTAGAGGATAAGACATGGAACTTTGTAAAACCATGGGTTCTAAATAAAGCGGGCATATTAATCGCCTCCAGTGAGAAAATCTAACCATTCAATGTCATTAACTATCACTGAATCCCTACTACCAACATTGTACAGGGCTATCATTGACCAGAAATTCAACTGGATTAGCCATATCAATATTGTGGTTACAAGAGCAGAACAGAGGGTTGGAATCCTGCAGCGAGTAACTCACTTCTTGACTCCGCAAAGTCTGTTCACCATCTGCAAAGCATAAGTCAGGACTGTGATGGAATAGACTCTACTTGTCTAGATGAATACAGCTCCAGCAACTTTCAAGAAGATTGACACCACCCAGGGCACAGCCGCTGGCTTTTGGCACCACATTCCTTCCTCCAGTGGTACTTAGCAACAGCTGCAGCAATGTGTACATCTACAAGATACACTGCAGAAATTCATAAAGGCTCCTTCCAAAACCATGATTACTTCTGGTTAGAAGGTCATGGCAGCAGATACATGGGAACACCATCACCTGCAAGTTCACCTCCATGTGAGTTGGATAAATGTTGCTATTCCATCACTGTTAATGAGTCAAAAACTCCTGTGATTCCCTCCTTAACGGCATTCCAGGTGTAACTTCACCACATGTATTACAGCAGCTTAAGAAGGCAGTTCACTAGCACCTTCTCAAAGGCAATTAGGAATGGACAATAAATGTTTACCCAGCCAATAAAACTCAAACTGCTTGAATGAGTAATAATAAAAAAGACATAAAGAGGGGTTCAACTTGAGCATGGGGAAGCTGAAAGACCATTGGGCTACACAGGAACAGGAGCAGGTCATTCAGCCCATTGAGCTTCCCCAAGCCACTCAGTATAATCATTGCTGCTCAAACACTTCACTGTTTTTTACAAACACTCATCCCCATTGGTATATGCCATTTGGTAAGTAGATAACTTTCATTCTCTACCTTAAAAATTCTCAAAGACTGAGCTTCCAGAGCACTCTGTGGTAGAGAATTCCAACGATTCAGAACCTTTTGAATGAAAGAAATTATCCTTATCCCAGGCATAAGTGTCATCCCCTTGTTTTTAAATTGTGCCCCTTTGTACTAGACTCCCCAGCCATGGGAGACTTCTGACCTGCATCAACCCTTTAACCTTTTTTAATTTACAATGAGATAATCTCTCATTCTTTGACACTCTCATAAATATAGGCTCATTTTTGCCCAATCTCCTTTCATGGTACTGTACTACCATCTCGGGAACAAGTCTGGTGAACCTTTGTTGCACTCCCGCCAGGACAGTAATATCTTTCTTGAGATAAGGAGACCAAAACTGCACAAAATGCTCCATGTGCAGTCTAACCAAGCTCCCATATAATTGAAATAAGACTTCACTAATCCTGTACTCACATCCTCTTGCATTAAAGGGAGACAGTCCTTCAACAAAAACAGAAATTGCTGGTGAAACTCAGCAGGTCTAAAGAAAAGTCATCAGAGTTGAAATGTTAACTCTGCTTTCTTCCCACAGATGCTGCCAGACCTGCTGAGTTATGCCAGCAATTTCTGTTTTTGTTTCAGATCTTCAGCATCCGTAGTTTTTTGTTTTATTTTAGTGAGACAATCTATTAGCCTTACTAATAACTTGCTGCACCTGCCTGTTAACCTTCAGTGAATTATCGACAAGGACACCTAAATTCCTTTTGTCCATTTACACTTCCCAACCTCTTAACATTTAAGAAATACTCTGCACATCTGTTCATACTACTGGAGTAGGTAACCTCACATTTTTTTCCACATTATGTTTCCATTTTCTTGCCCATTTAATAAGCCTGTCCAAATCCCCCAAAGTGATTTTACATATTGATCACAACATACATTCCTGCTTAGCTTTGTATCACCCACATTGAAAATATTATAATTGGTCCCCAAATGCAAATCATTGATGTATATTGTGAACATCTGGGATCCAAGAACTAATACTTGCAGTCAACTTGAAAATGACCCATTTATTTCCACTCTCAGTTTTCTGTCTGTTAGCCAATCATTAATTCATGCCAGGACATTTCCCCATACCGTGTGCTTTAAATTTTTCTCACCAGTCTCCTTTGGGGACTTTATTAAAAGCGTTCTTTGGTTTTCTTGTTTGATTTATTGTAGTACCGAGACACAGTGAAAAGTGTTGGTTTGCATGTTATACAGGCAGATCGTGCCATACAAAGTGCATCAGGGTAGCAGAACAGTGTGCAGAATGCAGAATACAGTGTTGCAACCACAGGGAAGGTGCAAAGAGAGAGATCAAAATTAACATTTGAGAGGTCTGTTCAAAAGTCTGATAACAGAGGGGAAGAAGCTATTCTTGAATCTGTTTGAACATGTATTCAAACTTTTATATCTTTTGCCCAACAGAATAGAGTGGGAGAATATAACCAGGGTGGGAGGGGTGTTTTGATTATGTTGGTTGCTTTCCCAAGACAGCAGGAAGTATGCCACATCCATCGGCTCTCCTTTATCAATTTTACTAACAACATCTTCAAACAGCCCCAATTTTGTCAAACACCATTCCCCATTCTTCTAGCAGTTTCCCTGAAATAAGTCTGACGCTGCTGTAGCTCTCTGTCTTCACTCCTGCTCCTTTCTTAAATAATGAGGCGACATTTTCAACTAACTGGCAGAATCATTGTAGAATCTATAGAAATGTTACAAAATAATCACCAATGCATTGACTATTTCTATAGCAACCGCCTTCAATACTTTAGGAAGCAGATCGTCAGGTCCTGGAGATTTACCAACTCGCATCTTCATTAATTTCTCAAATTCAATATTTTTACTAAAACAAATTTCATTCAATTTCTCATTCTCCCTAGTCACATGAATCTCTATTTCTGGGAGATTCCTTGCATAGTCTTCAATGAAAACAGGCACAATGTAATTTCTGTTGTTTCGTTATTCCCCATTATAAATTCTTCTGCCTCTGCCAGTAATGGGCTCACATTTATTTTAAACACATATTTCTTTTCTATTACCTATAAAAGCTTTTACAGTCCATTTCCTTTTGCATTCTCTATTTGTTGTCCCTTTCCTCAAGAGTTTCTTGGTCTGCCTTTGTTTTAGTCTACAAACCTTCCAATCTTCAAGATTGCTGCTATTTCTGACAGCTTCACAGGCCTTTTCTTCTAATCTTGTACAATCCTGAACTTCATGTTACCCAGTGATCTTATTAAATGATGGAGCAGGCTCAATGGGCCAAATGGCCTATTTTCGCTCCAAATGTGCAAAATCTATAGATGCAGTTCAGCTCCAGAACTCTGTGCCTGCTTGGTAAATGATGACCTATCCTTCTCCCACTGGAGACTGAGTGCCAGCTGCTATTCTTCCTAAGCCTGTAAAACCTCTACTCTCTGCTGCATTCTGCACTTGTTTCATCTGAGAGGCTGCACTTCTCAAAGAATGGTTGGATTACCCTCAGCCATTCTGCAGTAGTGGATCTGTAAGAAAAGTCTGACAGATTACAGAAAGTTACTAAAGGGTCCTGAGCCCACCATCATAATGAAGTTGAATGTCATGCCCTCACTGAAGAAATTTAGACTACTATATGCTCCAGTCATGTAAGGTTGACCAACATCTTCTCCATGTGTCCTTGACATGAGGCAGCTGCTAGTAGGTCCTCCTCCAAATGCCTCCACCCTCTAATTCCAGCTCAGTAGTAAAGTCGTAGCAGGCCTTTTTTATTATATATTCATTCACGGATGTGGGCATCACTGGCTTGGCCCAGAATTACCCAGAGGGCATTAAGAGCCAACCACCTTGCTATGACAAACTCACTTCCCTCCATCCTGTTTCGAGAAGAATCAGAGAAACACGTTCATGACAGCGTATGCCAGAACACTTCAATAATTATGAAATTTTCACATTGAAAGCAAGTAAGGTTTTGCACTGATATAGCAATCAATCTTATTTCTCAGATGTGTTTCTAAGCATTTCATAAGAATACTTCAAAACACAGTGAGAATTATTCAGGCAAACTGATCATTGTTTTAGGGAAACGCTGTGGCAGTTATTTAGCGAAAGGCAGCATATCAGGATATGGTAGCTATATGCCGTTATTTTTGACGCCTCAAGGAAAATCATGCTAATATTAATTAGCTTTATTGTTATGTGGAACAGAGAATGGAATGAAAATGGGAAGGAAAGGAAGTACTTACCACTTTCTTGTTCATTTGCATCTCCAAGATCAGATGTATATGCAGACACCAATATAATACCATATACTCTGTGTGTTTCAGCATATCTAAAACAAATATATATGTAAAACATAATTAGCAAAGTGTCCTAAGATATTCCTTTAGTTCATTAGTTTAAAGACATAGGGATTTCTATTTAGGGTAATGTTTAAAAAAGGGATGGATTCTTACAATGCACAAGTATTGAATGTTATAATTCAAACATCCCGCTATGTCGGATGCATATTGCACTTGCTATTATCACTTATCTTTAAGATAACAATTTATATTTATAAAGCTTTTGTTCCAAGGTACTTCAGAGGAGCAGGCATAAAACAACATGCAACAAAAAGGTATTTAGGTCTGATGAATAAAAGCTTAAGTTAAAAAGCTATTTACTTCACCAGACATTATGTTAACAGCTGCTTGAACTTGACCACCACATTCATATATACAGTAAATTTAGGTTCAGAATATAAACATTGTAACTCAACTTAAAAATAGAAATATATATCAAATTCAAGCGTACTGTTCCACCATCTCTAAAATTAAAAGCATCTATATTGCTAAATTAATATCTCTTGACTTTAACAATAACAGGACAATAGACTATTGCTTTTGGTTGCCACTTTCTGCCCTGTGAAAAATTGATACAATAACCTTTGAATTTTTGAAAAATGACTCCATTAAAGTTATCACTGTTTTGTGAAGTCAAACCCCATTTATTGTCCTTTTGTAAACTCATACCTCATAGCTGCAGCAGCACCAGAACTGTGCCCAATGATAACAGTCTGTTCATCACACTGCAGTATTTTTTGCATAAAAGGAAGCCATATTGTTTTTCTAGCTGTAACTGAAAATCACTTGTGGATTAAATAAACAGACCATATTACACAATTAAAAATAATTTCATCATTAACTGCAATGTCACCTTTCAAAAATCACTTACGAGGGTCTGGCATGTTTTGAAGCAAGCACTGAAAATCTGGAATCTGCAAAAAATGTTTTTAAAAGTGAACTGAAGAAGTATGAACTGCAATCTGATTAAACAATCATGTTTCTTTGGTGTGCATCATGGAATAGCAAACAACTGTTATGGATATCACGAATGAAATGATTTTATCATAATTGCATAACAAAGACATAGGTAAACACGACTGTAAACTATTAAAACTCATTGTTTAATTTACCTTAAAGGTTAAAGTTAATGAGGGGAGATGCACTTTCTTTTGGTGTTTCAGTGAGATTTTTCAAATGCATTACTTTCATAGGTGGTTGTTGGGGTAAAATACTTTTGGTAAAGGTAGTGATGCTAATTCAAACAGTCCAGAAAACAGTAGGCCCCCAACAGTTCATCCTGAGAAGAGCAAAGAATTAGAATTTATGGGAATAGAATAATAGAAGCAGGCCATTTGACCAATCTTACTAATAGTAGTTCTTTGAATGAACTATCCAATTAGATCCACTTCCTTTCTCTTTCCCTACAGCCTTGCTTTTCCTTTTCAAGTGCACACCTAATTCCCTTTTAACAGTTTATCAGAATTGATGAGGGCAGAGTGGCGGACATGAGTAAGGCGTTTGACAAATTTCATGGTAGACTGTTAGCAAGGTTAGATTACATGGAACACAGGGAGAGCTAGCCATTTGGATATGGAACTGGCTCGAAGGAAGAAAGCAGAGGGTGGTGGAGGAGGGTGGCTTTTCAGACTGCAGGCATGTGACCAGCAGTGCGCCACAAGAATCGTGCTGGGTCCACTGCTTTTCACCATTTATATAACTAATTTGGATGTGATTTAATATGGTTAGGTTTGCGGATTACACCAAAATTAGCGGTGTAGTGGACAACGAAGGTTACCTCAGAGGACAACGGGATCTTGATCAGATGGACCAATAGGCCAAAGAGTGGCAGTTTGAGTTTAATTTAGATAAATGTGAGATGTTGCATTTTGGAAAGGCAAATCAGGGCAGGACTTATGCACTTAATGGTAAGGGAGTGTTGTTGAACAAAGAGACGTTGGATTGGAGGTTCATATTTCCTTGAAAGTGAGTCAGATAGGCGATGGCCTAGTGGTATTATCACTGGACTATTAATCCAGAAACCCAGCTAATGTTCTGGGGATTGGGTTCGAATCCCACCATGGCAGATGGTAGAATTTGAATTCAATAATTTATAAAAAAGTCTGGAATTAAGAATCTATTGATCACCATGAAATCATTACTGAATGTTGGAAAAACCCATCTGGTTCACTAATGCCCTTCAGGGAAAGAAACCTGCCACCCTTACCTGATCGAGCCTACATGTGACTCCAGAACCATGGCAATGTGGTTGACTCTCAATTGTCCTCTGAAACGGCCTAGTAAGCCACTCCGTTGTACCAATCGCTACAAAGTCTCAAAGAAATGAAACCAGCCAGATCACCTGGCATTGACCTAGGAAAAGACAACGGCAGAAACGGCCCTGTCAACGCTGCAAAGTCCTCCTCACTAACATCTGGGGGTTACTGCAAAAATTGGGAGAGCTGTCTCACAGACATGGGCAAGGAAACCTCCTGCTGATTACCATATGCCGTCCTCCCCCAGCTGATGAATCAGTACTCCTCAATGTGGAACAACACTTAGAGGAAGCATTGAGGATGGCAAGGGCACAAAATATACTCTGGGTGGGGAATTTCAATATCCACCACCAAGAGTGGCTTGGCAGCAGTACTACTGATTGAGCTGCTTGGGTCCTAAAGGACATAGCTGCTAGACTGGGTCAGCGGCAGGTGGTGACGGAACCAACAACAGGGAAAAACATACTTGACCTCATCCTTACTAATCTGCCAGGGGCAGTTGCATCTGTCCATGACAGTATCGGTAAGAGTGACCATTGCACAGTCCTTGTGGAAGCGAAGTCTCGCCTTCACATAGAGAATAACCTCCATCATGTTGTGTAGCACTATCACTGTGCTAAATGGGACAGACTTCGCACAGATCTAGCAACTCAAGACTGGGCATCCATGAGGTGCTTGTGGGCCATCAACAGTAGCAGAACTGCACTCCAGCACAATCAGTAGCCTCATGGCCCGGCATAACCCCCACTCAACCATTACCATCAAGCCAGGGGATCAACTCTGGTTCAATGGAGAGTGCAGAAGGGCATGCCAGGAGCAGCACCAGGCATACCTGAAGTTGAGGTATTAAACTGGTGAAGCCACCAACGGGACAACTTGCACGCCAAACAGTGAAAGCAGCAAGTGATAGACAGAGCTCAGTGATCCCACAACCAACGGATCAGATATAAGCTCTGCAGTCCTGCCACATCCAGGAGTGAATGGTGCTGGACAATTAAACAACTCACTGGAGGACTAGACTCCACAAATATCTCCATCCTCAATGATGGAAGAACCCAGCACATCAGTGCAAAAGGCTGAAGCATTCGCAGCAATCTTCAGCCAGAAGTGCCGAGTGGATGATCCATCTCGGTCTCCTCCAGTGGTCCCCAGCATTACAGATACCAGTCTTCAACCAATTCGATTCACTCCACTTGATATCAAGAAACGGTTGAAGACACTGGATACTGCAAAGGCTACGGGTCCTCACAACATTCCAGCAATAGTACTGAAGACTTGTGCTCCAGAACTTGCCACTCCCCTAGCCAAGCTGTTCCAGCACAGTTACAACACTGGTATCTACCCGACAGTGTGGAAAATTGCCCAAGTATGTACTGTACACAAAAAGCAGGACAATCCAACCCAGCCAATTACCGCCCCATCAGTCTACTCTCGATCATCAGTAAAGTGATGGAAGGCGTCATCAATAGTGCTATCAAGCAGCACCTGCTCAGCAATAACCTGCTCAGTGACGCCCAGTTTGGGTT